CACCTCCAATGCTATCCCTCGAGGAAATTGCGTTTTCCTTGTATTTGAGAGCGCAATTAAAGGACTTGGCAAAGTGCCAAGGAGCCGCACGCGACAGGCGCGCTTACGACGGATGTTATGAACGGCGGGAATCTGCGCCGTAAAAAGGCAGTGGGCGGAGCATGGAGGAATTAGCGTGTTTCACGGCCCTGTATCTCCATTCCCGGGCATGTTTGGGCGGGGGGACCACGACACATCGACATCTGGGGGGCTGATAGTCTCATACACCCTCAATGTGTATGAGCGTACTATGTGTCTTTAAAGGCCGAAATTAATGAAGAGTTGTTCGTGGATTGAATGGTACTGACTGATTATTTTTCAGGTGATTCAAAATCTTAACGCCTACATCCTCTACAGTAGGGAGGACCATTCTCCGGTCGAATCAATGCCGGTCGAATCAATGCCACGAGAGGAACAAGAACGCCATATTAAGAACATGTTCGAAGCAGCGCATAACATCGACGTGAGTACTACCGATTCCCTGGCAGTTCGGCTTGGTGGGGGCGACAAAGGGGGCAAATACGAGCCTGTGCAGGCCACCTTGTGAAGACCTGTAAATTCTTGTATTCAACGTGGCTCACTTGTGCCATTTCGCAACTTTACAAGAGTTTATAGGTCTTAATAGCATATGACCTGTTACTTGATATGAATTAGTAAAAGGAACTACCGTAAGTGCGAAGTGACCCTCCCGAGCCGAACAGCGTCCCCTTCCCTGAAGCTTTCAGCCTTCAGCGGTTTCGGTGGAATAGAACCGCGTGTCGCTTATTATTATTACACCAGTTTCAGTTACAAATGACCTCTTCGATGGCATCGTCGTTCTCATCTGAGTTGCAGTCTATTGACGGAGGTGGTGAGACCGACAGTGATATCGGTGAGTTTATCACGCCTAACTGGTATGAAGAGGTGTTACCCTGTTTTCTGGGGTACAAGGCGCATGAAAGGTCGCACGACAAAAATGATTCAAACCGGCTTACGGTTTGCCCCGTTGTGTGCATTCGCGAAACCGGTACATTTTTATTTTTTATTATTTTTTCTTTTTTTTAGCATGGAAGCAACTGTATTACCTTCATGGACTTCGTGCTGAAGTGAAGATTTCGTGGTCGAAGTGCGAGAAAGATCTCTTCAGAGACGAGGGTTCGACCGTGGCTAGCGCTCTGCATGAGGATTCGAGCCCGTTCAACAGTCTCTCCCCACAGTTCGTAGCGTGGCTGGTCCGTGTCAGCAACTAACGATAACGCACTGCCACAGTCCATACCTGAACCCTGATGTTTAGTGTGGAACTTCCAAAATAAACTTCCGAGAAAATTTCTAAAATAACAATGTTTTGGGAGTTTTCTAACAAGCTGCTGCACTTTCCACCCTATACCGCCGCACTTCTCGAAATTCAAGCTGTATTTTGATCGGGTCAGAGGGCATGAGTTTGAGCGGGCCAGCCATTCTCCACTAATTGTTGAAGATGTAAACGACAACAATGGTGGCGTGTAAGCGACAACAAACGGGCTGGCGCCGCGACAAACCCACCCTCCTGACACGCCCCAGCGTCTACAGCGAAAAGATCAAGAAGACCTGTAGAACATCCGCTTGTGGCATATCTCAAGAGAAACGTACCAATTTGCACTTGAAACTCCTTGTCGGTAGCGAATTGAGTAGCCTGAAGTAGAAATTGCGCCAATGTATGTAAGAGTTCGCCGATCGTCCACGGAGTTTCATTCACCTGAATAGCACTGTTTTCTTTATGAAAAAAACCAGTAAAATCACAAAAGTGGAACAGAATTAATAATCGTCCTAAAAATCGCTTCCAGCGAGCACTGTAATTTGGTGAGGGTGAAGAGGGAGCAGGAGGAAAGGCGCCGTTCACCGCATGCGCGATAGGTCTATTCCCTCATAGGTTCCCGTCTAGACCATCCAAACCATCTAGTAACTACGGGGTCTATTAGTGGGTCGGAACTCATCTAGGCGAATAAACCAGTGGTTCTACATCAGCCAATGGGCTGGCCTCGCAAACCACGCTAGGGCGTGTCGGGGCGGAGGGGGGGGGGGAGGCTGGGATTGACGCGACACAAGCCCATTTTCCACCAACTGTCGTCCCTTGCCTGCTTCAGCAACTGATGGGAACGGGCTGGCGCCGCGCTAAACCCAGACTTCTTCCCTGACACGCCCCAGCATCCGTAGCGAACAGGGCTGTAAGACTTACGATATGAAATATGAACTTACGTTTTGAGCGGCATCTGGAAGAAGTCCAACTGCAACAATGTAGAATCGATTTGCACTTTTGATTTTCTCAATTCCCCGGTAGTTACTCAGCTGCTGTAAATCACACTTTTGTTGTTGTAGTAATCAGTTTGCTGGAAGAACCGTATCCAAACCTGGTCGAAAGAAGTAAACAACATAGTTCAAGCCATTAAGACCCTGTTCATCCGATAAGCTGAATCCAGATATCGTCATATACGCAACGCCGACTGAAAGAAATTTCTGCATATCGTTGAAAGAAACGCGAAAAAGAAGGCATTTCATTCCTACGAGCATCACTAGGACCGCAGATAAGGTAATAACATGGAGTACACTCATGATTCCTTGAAAGGATATGGCGTGCGCGAGGCGTGGATTGTGCGACCATTCCACCAACGATGTCATCCCAAGCTCGCAAGGATTGGTGGGAAAGGCTTCCCTGGGTCGCTCCGATTGCGCCTCCTCTCACCTTTTATGACTAGTACCAGTCGGATCGGCCGGCTTCGCCGGGCAAATGGTCCAAAAAATATTTTTTGAGAATTACCGCACTTTACCGTTTCACTTCTTGTATATACCCCCCCCCCCTCCCTAGAAGACAGTCATCAAAATTTTCTATGCGGCACTACCCTTAGTGATGAGGATGTCGTAGAATAAACTCCTTGCCGACGGTACCAACCACTTTTGTATAACTCCCCTACGGTATATACCCCACTTCACTCATCTGCCAAACCATTGCTCAGTTTCAGCTTACTCCCCATTTCGTGGGGTTTTCGGGTGCGTTTTGATGGTTTTTGTCCTCGGCACCGTTCACTTCGGCGAACGCCCTGCCCCATCGGGGGTGTGCTTCATCGATTTCGTCCGCCAACCGCCTAAACCTACCGTCTTGCCACTTCTTCCCGCTACTCTCCCGAGCTCTTTTGCAAACCGAACTACGAATTTTTGAAATTTTCGTAGCAAGCACCGCCCACTATAGAACGCCCCGCCCAGAATGGGTTTGTCTCACTCATTTCGTCCGCCAACTGATTGCTATCGTTTGCCACTTTTTCCACTCTCGGGGCTCTTTTGGAACCGAACTACGAATTTTTGAAAAATGTAGCTCACTAATGTGGCGCACGCCCCGCCACAGTGGCGGGGCTTAGCTACACTTACGCCGCGCCCTCAAACTGGCTCTCAGGTGTCCAAATTTCCGAACCAGACAGGCAACAAATTTAGCAGACAGACATACATACATACATACATACATACATACATACATACATACATACATACATACAGACATACGTCGCCGTTTACATATAGTAGGATAAAAGACCTTGTAAACAGCCAACCACGTACCGGAATGATGCGCATGATGCCACTGCTCGCCTGTTCTTGCCACTACCCATGGAGCGACGTGGGGTGGTACAAGATTCAGAAGTACTTGACTGTTCAGCAGCAGAAATCGATCTTTGGACGACGACTCTTCAACACCCTAAAACTTTTATAATCACCAGTTATCATTATTATTTGAAATCTATTACTTGAAAGATTATACGACATGATATCAGATATGATTGCGCCTTATATCCCAGCGATAAGGAGGGCGTAACTGTGCGCACTTCTTGTGAATGTGGCAGCGACCGCGCTTTTGGGATATCGGTGTCTTGGGGCAGATGTAACCACGTCCTTGTCCGGCACAAGGCGCGATGACAATTGTCTCAAAAGGTAAGATTTCACTATGAACGCATGCTACACCATGTGCAAACGAAGTACGCTGCCACGCCCCTCCATATCCCAGATATAGTATTTATGGACAACATTGCAAAGCAGCAAATCCTTCAACGAAATCGTAAATCTCTTCAACTCATCAGGCTTATTATAAAACATTTTTGAGTTATTCATGCTTTGAAAATCTTCAATAGAGACTCCCTCTCTGTACGACGCAAACCGGTATGACGTCAGGGAGTGAGGGCGGTCTTATTTGAGGCGTTCTTGACTGTCTTTTTTCTGCTCTTTTCCTCACAGATGTCTCAACTAGCACCTCGTGACCCATATAACGAACGTCATATCCGTCATCTTGCAATCACCGTGCTTTTGAGTGTCAATCATTCATAGCGTGCCAAACGCTGGCAAAGGCCCTGCTGTAAGAAACCTGAGCTGCACTTGCTGTATTTTCTTTATTGGGAAAGCGTTGGCCACTCGCACAGAAGGCGTTTGGCCAGAATAAGCAAAAGCCTCATTTTCAGCCATTCACCGACTAACCTCCGGGGAAAATTCGGCAGTCAGGGCCACTGCTATTATTATGAAGAAACGGATGGAAATTCCTCGCCATCCCTATTACTTTCATGCTTATCCTGTTACCGATGTCCCAGTAGACGATGAGCGTTGCTTGGGAGATGAATTGGAAAGTGACTAATACTGAAAGACACAATCCTCCATGCAAGCAGGCTGGGTTGGGTGTCCAAACCATTAATTTTGGTGAGAATAACGAAATTAAAAAAGACAAGCCCCCTCTTCTACAGTTAATTTTATCAGTGGAACGATCATAGGGAAGGTGCAGGAGCGACGAGGCGGCGGGTAGAGACCAAAGACAGTGAACAGTTCCTCGGGCTTTCACAAGCAGTAGCGTACCCTCGGATTTACGACTCGATGAGAACAATGTTCTCGACGGCGGTTGTAAAGTTCGGCTTACTACAACGGTGGCCACATAAAAAAGGAGGTTGTGAACGAGGCGGCAATCAGGCGAGTACGTTTGCCAACATACGTGAAAATGACAGAGTTCTCATATTGAAAGACACTACATCTAGCCAATTCTTGGCACAGAAAAAAATTAAAGACAACAAAATTTGAGAAAATTAGAAATAAACAAATATGGCATGACGATTAGTTTTTAGCCCATTTCGTACGCTCATGGCCTGTCTTCGGGGCACGTCGTGCCGCTAGAGGGAATTTTGGCGGAACACACCCTGTCCACCTCGGAATTTTCTCCTCTGAACGACTTCTCTTCCCCATTCCTCATTCTACCTATCATATTCCTAGAATTTCCTAGCTTCCGAAGTTTTTTTTGAGTTTTTTTTCTCTTGGAAGTCCCTTCATTTTTCTCCGAAACACAAAAAACTGCCTTCGGGCGGCGGAGGGGATGCACACTTCAGGCAGGGAAACTGAGAAAAGACATCAACCGAAAACAACCGATAACAAACAGCATTTCTCTTGAGGCATTACGACCCCCCCCCTCGTTGAGGATGTCCGAGGTACGACATGCCCTACCTGCTATACAGCCTATTTTTCACTTTTTTAAACTTTTCCTTCTAAGTGGCCACGTTGACCTACCTTGACAACCGATAGAAAGTCGAGTCGCATTAGTTTTTCGCATCTTCTTGCATGCAGAAATACGAGAGCGGCTAGTGACGAGAGACCGACCCAGAGATCGAACTCGATGGTGAACCTGAGATTTGGACAACAATTAGTAGGATGCAGTTCGCCTTGGTGGGGGCACATTCCTGGCCCCTACTGATCACTGCCTGCGCCTCCTGGAGACCTGCGAACTCCTGTAAAGCTGTGCAATAGCAGGAGCTTCGTTTGCACGTGACAAGAGTTTACAGGTCTTACCAAGTGGAGACGTGCAGTTCAAGCGGAACTAGTAAGAAACTAGCGAAAGTGCAAAAT